CGAAAGACAGGTAAACCAAAAGAAAAATTGGTCAAAAATTGAACATAAAATTCATTAAATCAAATATCCAAATGGTTAATAAATGTGTAAACATAATCATTATTTCACTAGTTATTAGGAAGATAACAGTTAAAAAATACACTTTTTTTACTTTTTGATACCACTCAACACTGGCTAACAGAAAGATAATACTAGGTGTTGACAAGAATGTGGAATATTGTGTTCTGCTGTGGAAGTGTTAATTGATTGAAGCAATTTGGAAAACTGACAATATCCTCTTTATCTGAACTTACACACACCTGTGGTAGAATAATTCCACCTCCAGGTGTCAAAGAATGAGGTGCATATGTCTCCAAAAATCATATATAAGAATATTGCATCATTTGTAATAAGTAAAAATTGGAAACACACCAAATATTTATCACCAGTACTACCATGAGATACCATCTTACACCAGTGAGAATGGCACATATTAAAAAAACTAGCAACAACAAATGTTGGCAAGGTTGTGGAGAAAAAGGAACTCTCCTGCACTGTTGGTGGGAGTGCAAACTGGTCCAACCACTATGGAGAGCTGTGTGGAGATTTCTTGACCTACTAAACATAGAGCTTCCATATGATCCAGCAATTCCACTCCTAGGTATTTACCCAAAGGACACAGAAACATCAATTCCAAAGAGCACCTGCACCCCTATGTTTATAGCAGCACTGTTTACAATAGCTAAGCTTTGGAAACAACACAAATGCCCAAAAATAGATGACTGGATCAAGAAGATGTGGTACATATATACCATGGAATATTACTCAGCATTCAAAAAAGATAAACACATGCAATTTGCAGCAACATGGATGGCACTGGAAGGGATCATGCTCAGTGAAATAAGCCAAAAAGAAAAAGAAAAATACCGGATGGTCTCACTCATAGCAGGAATCTAGAAAACTTAAATAAGGGACCAGGAAAATGAATAACTATAAGAAAGTGAAAATCAAAATCAACAAAAAACTATGAACCAGAGACACTTTTTGGGGGTGGGGGGCGGGAGGGGAGGGATTGGGGTCAGAATGGGGGGGTTGCAATTGTATGGGGAATATAAAAATAAAATTTATTATAAAAAAAAATGTTGGGTATATTTGGGGCCTCCCTGGTGGTCCAAAGGTTTAAACACAGCACTGTGAAGCTATCCACTGCTTCTGCAGCACAAGTTTGATCCCTGGCCAGCCAGGGATCTACCCACCGGTGCAGCAGACCTCTCCTGTCTCACTTGCTGCTCCCCTCAGTGGTGTATTTCAGTTAGTCTGCCTGTTCTGTTCCCTACTCTGTCTCTGGTGATTCTCACCCCTGGCAACTCTGGCCTGTTCCCCATATCTTGTATGCATAAATAAATAAATCTTTAAAAAAATGACTGGATCAAGAAGATGTGGTACATATACACAATGGAATATTACTCAGCAATCAGAAAAGATAAACAAGTGCAGTTTGCAGCAATATGGATGGAGTTAGAAGGGATCATGCTCAGCAAAATAAGAAAGAAAAAGAAAAATACTGGATGGTTTCACTCATAGCAGGAATTTAGAAAACCTAAATAAGGGACCAGGAAAAAGACTAATTAATACAAAGTAAAAATCAAAATCAACAAGCAACTATAAACCAGAGATACACTATGGTGGGGAGGGGCAAGGACAGGAAGGACTAGGGTCAAAATAAGGGGAGGTGCAATTGTATGGGGAATATAACCAAAATGAAAATGCATACATTGTGCAAAAAATGAAAAATGATGTAAGAATTATATAAAATAAAATATTTTTAAAAATTGGGGTATATTTATACACTAGAATACTATATGCCAAGGAAAACAAGCAAACTAAATTACACAATGACAAACTAAATGACAATAAAGATGAATCTTGACTCTCACCATTGTAATTTTGAGTGAAAAAAATTTTGATACAAAAAAGTTAAATGTACTATAATTCAGAAAAAGACCAAGCTCATCTGTCGGGGTAGTGGTTACCCATAGGATAGTGAAGACAGCTGCTGGAAGGTGGGATAGAGTAGCTCCTGAGAAGGGATAGGTTTCTACTTCTTGATATGTATTCTGATTATATAAGTAGATTCACTTTGTGAAATTCATCTAGCTATAAACTTGCACTTTTCTTTCTGTATTATTTAGATCACTAAAACAACAACAAATAACTCTCAAAGGCTACATCAAAAAACATAGAAGATAGTTTAAGAAAGTGGTTACTAACCAAGGATTAACTAATAAAGTATCAAAATAATAATAGTGGTTTAAATCACTAAAATGTTAAAAATCTGTATCCAAATTAAAACTCAAAAAAATAAAAATACTGAAAATCACATGTTTCTTAGTTTCTCTCTTTAAACTAAGAGAAACCATAACGCTTGCTTGATTAAAAGAAACTTAAGGGGCATAACAAACAAATGAAATGCACATCTGGATTTTGATAAACCAGCTAAATAGTACACTTTGAGAAACTTTGGGGAGTTTAAATATAGATTGGGTATTATATGAGAAGAAAATTTATTGCTTTGAAAAGGCAGAGATAGTTGATGGAGGGAACAAGTAGTTTACAAAGAAACATATGAAATAATCTCATTGTAGAAATCTGTATATAGTGTGACTGTCTTTGGGTATGTATATGTGGAAGATGTATAAATTGAATAAGGGTTAGGAGTAGCAAGTTTCCAGGTGGAGAAAACATGGTTCCATGATATTTAAATAAGTTACCTTTTTGGTTGTATTTGTTTTTCCAAATTTCTACAGTATATACATACAACATTTATGACAAAAGGCTAATTTCAATTTAAATGTGATTAAAAAAATAGTTATAAAGTATAATCTTAACAATCTTATTTTTTCTTCTGTAATGAACAGGGCATGACTAAATTATAATCCCCAGAATTTAGAAGGTCATTATAATGTTTCAACCTAATAATCTTATTGTGCATATTTTGGGCTTACATTATTCTTTGTTGGCATGTTGAGCTACCACCAAGTCAGTTATTACTTCTTCACTGTTTAATATTTATTTTGTTATTAACTAGTCACTATACAAATATATATTCTTTGTCATGCTTTTATTATGGGTTGCTTAATTATAGTGGCATAGGATTAAACATTCCAAGGAAAATTTAAAAAAACTAATATTTCTGTGAGGATATGTAAAACATTTTTATTGAGAAAAAGTCAAAGCAGTAATAGAGGTCAGTTATCACCATAATCTTCAAAATATTTTTTCATATAAATAAAATCTTTAAAGAGGGAAATTGTATCTCTAAAATCTATTGAACTACGTATTTTTTTAAAGATTTATTTATTTATGCATACAAGAACTGGAGTACAGGCCAGAGGTGTGGGGAGTGAAAGGAGTCACCAGAGACAGAGTGGGGAACAGAACCTGCAGACTGACTGAAATACACTGCTGAGGGGAGCAGTGGGTGAGTCAGGAGAGGGCTGCTATGCCACATGGGTATCTCCCTGGCGGAAATTGAACTCATGCTGTAGCAGCTGCGGATAGCTTCATAGGTTGTGTCTTAACCCCTTGCATGACCAGGGAGGCCCTATTGAACTACTTAATTAATTTTTACCCTGTCTTTCCCCAGAAGGATTTCAAGAGACTTATTATAATATATAAAATATGCTAAGCTATATATCATAAATTTAAATTGGGAATAAAAATTTTAAAAACCAAAGTTGAAAAAAAACACAAAATAAGTTTTCAAATGAATAGAAAATACCCATATAACTAGTAAACATGATCAACAAATAATTTTTAAATGTCAAATGCATAGTTAGTAATATTCATGAAATAAAAGGAATAAATTGCCCTAAATTCTAAAATTATATTGGAAATTTTCCTGCATTTAATAGTACAGAAATACTGCATAAAGACATGACATGAACACCATTCTCAACATTTTATATTATATTTACACATACATACACAACGCATATGAACACTGAGTTTTAACCATCTCATTTTTACATTATTTCTAGCTTTTTAAATTTGAAACACTCCTTTGAGGGTCTTTAGAAATTCACAATTCAGTTTCCTTTCCTCCAAAGAACTAATTTCTAATTCAGTTGATAGTCTGTTAAGTTACTGCAAGGGTATTAATGTTATTCATATAAATGATAGGGAATCAGAAAACCTGAGATTAAATTTTGTAACCTTTTTAAGTCTCTACCATTTAAAAATCTCAGCTTGATTACTTTATGAATATGACTAAAATCCCATTAGCAATCATTCACTGATTTCTTTAAGTGAGTATATTTCTCTTTCTTTCCAAAAAGCACATAAATTATAAGGAAATCAATTTTTTTTTCAATATAGAGCTGTGAACTGTTATTTCAATTTTTCGATCAATAAACATTTGTTAAACTATATCATATATTAGATATTTTTGCAGGGTGCTGTATACCTTGATAAGCAGATGCCAAAGCTGGCTAACTCTGGCATAATGCATTCATGAAACATATTTGGATATCCAATCAATAAAGAGTGCATTCCCGGGTTTATCTCTGTCTAATAATTTGGTAACTTATAAGCAAACTTGGAGAAGTGATAAAATAATACACAAATTTTTGTTGCTAATGAGGGAGAAAGTTACCACTGGTTTCTGTGTTAATTTTGTACTTGCCTATGACATTTAGAGTGCAGGAGAGAAATTTCTTATCTTAAACTCCACTGGTAGCTGGCCCATGAATCTGTGATTTTCTTTTTCTATGTTAAAGAATCACAGCATTGGTAAGCTTTTGTATACTTGTTTGAATTTGGAAGAATCATCTTCAAAGTTATCAAATAACTTATTCAGTTGAGAATACAAAATGTGAACCAAAAGCCAGAAAAGGGCTATGAGCTTGTCAATCTCTTCAAAGATTAGAATCTCTAGTCTCTTTTGAAGGTGGCTTTCTGTACTTAAAGTGTCATTTTATTTTAATATCATCATGTCACAATTTCTAATAGAAATATACAAATCACAAGAAAAAAAATTATACCCTAGTGTTGTCTTTAAATAAAGGGAATTGTGTGTGTGTGTATGTGTGTGTGTGTGAGAAAGGAGAGTAGAAAGAATAAGAGAATGGAGGAGGAAAATGAAAATTTTTGATTAAACTGAGTCATTAATTTAACTGAGCATGAAGTCTAAAGTTCCTACATTGATAGACTATTTTATTAACCTTAACACAATGATTAATTAAAGAACACAAACACAGACTGATCTGTGGACACAGACTTTACACCCTTGTATCAACAGCATACATTTTGGCGGTCTCTGTTCTAGGGGTCTTATATGATTTGGCCATGGAAACAGCAGCAGTTGAAGCCCTCCTCATAGAAACAGCAGCAGTTGAAGCCTTCCTCATAGAAATAGCTGCAGTTGAAGCCTTCCTCATAGAATAAGGGTAGTTTCTCTCAGGTCCCACATCTGTTTAAAAGAGATACAGGTAGAGATATAAAAACAATTATGGCTCAGTAAACATTGGAAACTTAAAAAAATGTCATTTTATATATTCTTTGTAAAAGGCAAGAACGTATTATAAAAAGAAATCATCTAAGAAGAAACCTAGGAGAAAATCTAAGATTTGTATTCTGAAAATTGTTTTATATTTAAAATTTAATCAAGTAACTTCCTTCTTTTATCCTTTTCTGGTGAAGAAAGGAATCCCCCTAGTTTGTTTTCTTTTTTTAAAAGATTTATTTACTTTTATACAAGAACCGGGGTACAGGCCAGATGTGCAGGAGGGTGAGACAGAGCGGGGAACAGAACAGGCAGACTGAAGAAATACACTGCTGAGGGGAGCAGCAGGTGAGACAGGAGAGGTTGCTTCACTAGTGGGATTCTTGCCTGCCGGCAGGGAATGAACCCATGGTGCAGAGGCTGTGGACAGCTTCACAGTGTGGCGCTCAACCACCTGCACCACCAGGGAGAGCTCCCCTGCCTGCCCCACCCTGCCCCGCCCCCCTAGTTTTTAAAGTCCTATTTTTTGAAACCTAACAGTAACACATTAAGTTCTTTAACAGCAAATATTTGACTTAGTTCTCAATTACTTCTTTGCTTAACTTGGATATAAATAGTAGATTGGGTAAAGACATGTAAGATTATAATACATTAAATAATTACTATATATTTGAATACTGAACACAGTTCTAGATATTTTTTTCATTAAAAATGCTACTAGTTGAATAATAATAATATTGTGTGCTAGGGTAATTGCTTCCATTGGTTTGGAGGCAAGGAAGTTTTCTATAGCATTGATGCCTACCTTTGAAGAGGTATAAGCAGCATGTGAGGACAGCTCCAGCCACAAAGCAACCCAGAGACCCAGCCATTCCAAGCCAACAGGACCAACCAAATTTATATTGGATGCCAAGAAATATATTATGCAAAACTAGGGAAGAACGTTCTACATAAACATCAACAGCATACCACACAGATCCAATGATTCCTGGAGCACCTGTAAAAGAGAGATGTTAAGAAAAATCCAAGTTTTTTTTTTTTCCAATTTTAAATCCAAGATCTGCCTATTACCCCAAATAGATATTATTTAAATGGATAATAATAATAATAATATAGATTCATGGCCAACTCAAATTTGGACACCTTATCTATATCTTCTTTTCCTCTTCCATCTTGCATTTCTTCAAAATATATTTCCATTTATACATAAAAATACATACAAAAATGTAATAGTGCAATGTACACCTGTTTGTGTAAACCTAAGATGATCATTATGGTTTTCTTTAATTTTCCAATAATTCCAGTGCTATTTTAATGTTGCATAAAGGAAAACATTGAAAACAAGGAAAGAAGAGTAAGGACAGATAATTGAGGACAAATAATACAGAACATATGTTTATCGATATTGATTTTTCTTTATTTAAAGGGTGCATCTTTAAGAGTATCCTGTTGCTTCTTGACCCCCACCTCTCCATGATTGAAATTATGCCACTCACTCAATCAGCACCCATAAAGAAACTATATTTTTAAAATCATTCACTTCAGTGTATTGGGATTAAAAACAAATTTATCTGAAGTAACAGTTTACAATATTTTAAAATAAATCCTTATCTATCAATCCCACACCACATAAGAATGCACTAGGAAATTTACTCACTTTATAAAATTTAATTCCTGCAGATTAGTTTATCTGAAGACTGACTGGTTTAAAATGATGCCACTAGGGTCCTTTAACTTTAAAGGTGTAAGTTGCAAGTCAAGCATTAGATGTAATAAAAATAGGTGGGGAGTTGCGGGACAAAAAGCTATGTGTAATGATGTTTCTCAAATCTTTATTCTTAAAGTTTCACATTTTTTCCTAGGGAGTCTGTGTTATCTATTTCAGACACCATTTAATTGCATTCTTCTTCCAATTACTTAACACAAAATTTTAGGAAAGACCAGATCATGAATATATAACCTTTAGATAACAGGGTATAAATTGCCATACCTTTCGCTAATACTGTAACTAATAGGTTTAGAATGGGAATATCTTTTTTGAAACTTTGAAATAGATTATGACTATATATGTGATATATGGATGTATAGATATGCAATAGCTATATAATCTACTTTGCTACTGCCATACAAGGTATTGGATCTATACAACATATCTATATATCATACTAATTTGTAATGATGGCATCAAGGCTTTCGCCAATGTTGGTTATTTAATTTAGCCATTTCTTCAGCCATGCCTGCAGCAATTTTTTCATTGACATGTCTCCTAAAAATTTAGTTTGCTTTTTTGTTTAAAAAATAAAAGTGGGGGACTCCCTGGTGGTGCAGGCGGTTGAGCACCACACTGTGAAGCTGTCCGCAGCCTCTGCAGCACGGGTTCCATCCCGGCCGGCCGGCGAGAATCCCACATGGCACAGCAGACCTCTCCTGTCTTGCCTGCTGCTCCCCTCAGCAGTGTATATCTTCAGTCTGCCTGTTCTGTTCCCCGCTCTGTCTCTGGTGAATCCTTTCACCCTCCCGCACATCTGGCCTGTACCCTGGTTCTTGTATGGAAAAATATTAATAAATAAATAAATTAATAAATGTGGACTCTAATGATGCCTCAAAACGTATTCTGAAGAAAAAACTGTACAGTATTAAGTGTTTGAATTTGTTAAATAGATTGCCACATACAACAGCTTTATCACCAGACTGGATGTGAGAATACATGTCTTAAAAAAAGAAATATCATTAAATACTTGTGATTTTTAATACAATCTAAGGATCATAGGGTCTTGACTCAATATTTGTATGGGAAATCTTAGGGGGACCCCAATTTTGAATGTGTGATGTGTTAAACCCTCTGCTATGAACTCATTTTGGATTTTCACAATAACAATCAAAGTATAAATTAATACCTAGGCCTCACCCTATTGTGCAGATTAGGAAACAATGGCGACTACTGAAGTAACTGGCCTAAAGTCTCATGTCATATGCAGATAGATGGAAAATGAGGGCATGAGTTTATAGCATACAGAAAAAGGTAACATTGAACTCACAGAGGTAACCAAAAAACACAACACACATTAACATAGGCTCCTGAAAAAATAAGATTTTAAATCTGTATGAACTAAGAATTAAATACACTTTTTTTTAATAAAACTCAAAAACATTATGAATAGACATTATATGTGTGTGTGTGTATATGTTGTGTGACCTTGGGCTAGATAAACATATTCAGTTTCATGTATATGTTCTTTATTGTGTTTTATATATATGATTTATATCTTTAGTATCATATCTTTTTACATATATGTATTTACATCTAAAACGCCTATCTATTTACTATCCTACACTGCTCCCTGGTCAGTTTTGCAATTTTACATTTGTTTTGCTAGCTTTTTCCACTGCCATAAACAGAGATGTGAAGGTGTGCCCATTGGATTCAAACTTCATGCACTTTGATTTCTGTGACATTATGCTTCCTTCCAACGTGCATCAAGATCTAAAGAGGATATCATGCTGTCTATAGGAAGACTAAGTTTTGAAGTTGATGGCAAATTCAAGTAAGATGCTAATATTTTATTGTTTCACTAATAAACATGTGTAAAGTGTTTCTTAACCCATGTTTATTAGGCATACTTCATATAAGTCTTCATAATTCCATTTCTTCATCTCCTTCCTAAGTGAAGATAATATTATAATCTGTTTATTGCTACATTTATGATCAAATGGGCTGGTGCATGAGAAAAGCCTAACATAGGTCCTGACACAATTTAATTCACTGCCAAAAAGACTTGGTGGATTTAGTACAAGTAGAGAGGTGGTGGCTTAGGTCTTACTTTACAATTTAACTGCAGGAAAATCACAAAGGAAATTATTTTAACAATTTAAGGAATTATATAGCTTTTGTAATGGCTAAAAAAAGTTTGAGAACTTTGATCTGGGGTAACTAACAGGAGATTGATGAATTGATTCCAAAGCCAAAGAAATGAAGCTGGGAAAAAAAAAGAAAAAGAAATGAAGCTGGATAACATGTTCTTAATTCATCCAATCTACAAAAGCAAAACACATATGATTCTAAAATCACTTGCTTCAGAACACATCCTCTCCTTCACCTTTTAAGCCCTTAGAGGTAGTACATTAGTCCAGACCAGTACCTGCTATTAGCAATGTAGTTCCAGCAACATAGCAGATGCGGACTTTGATGGATGGTTCATCAGGAAGGAATTTCACACAGTTAAGACCCAGGAGCAGAGTAATAAGTCCAAACCCAGCTAGAATGTCTGCAGTGATCATCAATGCTCGAGTTACCACCAACTTCACTGGAAGATGAGAGCATGTGGTTATGGTAAACTGAGGAAGGAAACATTAACTTACAGAGGTAGACAAAAATCATAACCACATACGTTAACACACCTTGCTGAAAAAGTTTTAATTTGCATGAGCTTGGAAATGAACACCCTTAATGTTTTCAAAAATCTCAAAATTGTTATGAAAGACTAACATTATTATTTGTTTAAATATTTATTGTTTCTTAGTTTTGCCAGCTCCTAGCAAAATGCCTGGCATAGACTAGGGACTAAATGTCTCTTTTTGACTTAATCTGAAATGAGTCTTGTTCACATGTATTATAGCTAAGCTGAACTGAAAGTAGAGTATTCATTCTGCAGAGGTTACCCAATAAATATTCAATGAATAAATGATAAGTGCATTTGTGAGACTTAAAAAGAAGAATTAAAAATAACTTCAAAATTTGATACAGGGGAGCAGAATCAAATACTTCCAAGATGTCTCTTGCCAATTCAGGCTGATGGGAGCAATGAGCAGAATTGTAGAAAAAGAAGAAATTTTGCTATTAAGTAAAAGATAACTTCTGGAAGCAAGCTCATATTTTCTCTCTTGCAACACTGCAGCCTTGCACTGTCAATTGAGGATATTTCAAAGCTATAGTCAATGAGCATGTGTGGTAGAAGGCTCAGGGAAGGGGAAGTCAGATAAAGAGAATTGGAATAATGATAGTCCTCTTCTGCAATACACACAATTTTAACTGAGAAAGACTCCTGAACTGTGAGTCCCACTGATGCTAAATTAAATATAGGGAAATTTTGTCACAAATAGAGTTAATTACCTGAAGTCAGTACAACCACATTTTAGCTGGCTAATGGAGAGAAGTAATAAAATGTATTCCTTTGTTAGTACTATAATTATATTTTACTTTCATAATGATTTGGGGATTCTTTGCATTTTTTAATAAGTTCTCTCAATAGTAATAGGTTACTTAGAAGAATATGGCCAATTTTCCTTATTTGAAATAAAAAAGAATATTTTGTGAACCATCTAAGGTGGAAATCAATGCATAAAATTAGCTCCTACCTTATTAATAGATGATATTTAATATATAATTATGTTATTAATATGTGAGTATAGTTGCTTCTAGAATGGAATTTTTTTTTTTTGTGGGACCCTCGCGGGTGGCCTGGGAATGAACTGGCGCTGCAGAGGCTGCGGGCAGCCTCGCAACCCAGTGCTCAACAGCTGCGCAACGAGGAGAGGCCCTAGAATGGAATTTTTAAGGCCACTAAATTTGACAATCTTTAAAAAAAAAAAAGGTTCAAATTTCAAATATAAGCCAAGTCTAAGGCTCATTTTTCTAAAAATGGAGAAAAGAGAAATGTAACTCATTGTGTCATATTAGCTTTTACATTTCATCATAGCCTCTTGATCCCAACTGGTCTATACAAGTGAATCTCCTAGTCAGCATTCCAGGTCAGGTGGTCCCAATACTTTGAAGCGACTCCATTGAATTTGTTTAAGTTCCTTTTTACAACCTGGGACCACCCAGAGCCAGAAAAGCCATCTGTGTGGGGTGCTCTAAAATCACTGTGTGCCCTGGTCTTCCCCTTCCCTTGGGCACTCTCTGACCCATGATCTCACAGAGAAACTGTGAAACACAGGACTAATATTTAGGGGGTACTCGAAGGGCCTCATGGCTAACCCTGTTCCAAAGGCAGCTCTGCAAGCAGGCTGCTATGCTGGCCAGCCAAGCGTTGCTGATCGTTTGAGATTTAGCAGCTGGTATTATTAATATTTCAAGTTAGTGGAAACTCAAATGAACTATTCCAGCAGGAACCTTTAAAAAATATTTAGCTGGGTCTGTATAGCTTAGAAATCCAGGGTAATGGAGGTAGTTATTTAATTGTGACTGTAGGAAATATATCAAAGGCTAAAACTAAAATCCTACTCACATGAGTAATAGTTTAGGGGGTACAGATATATTATTTCCTTAGAATGCATTTTCATCCCTATTGTCTTAATACTTAATACCTCATACTAAAGTATGAGGTAGAATTTTTAAAAGAAAAATAATGAATCTTTAGCATATTATTTGAAATTAATAGTTAAAAATATATCAAAAGAAAAATGTAAGCTAGAATAAGCAAAAAATAAAAAAGGGATATTTTCAATATAAACAGTATTTTTTTTGTGCAGTAGGCTTATGAGTGATTTTATTTTGCTCTTGCATAAATGTACATGACAGTATTTAAAAGTCTGAAAGATTTGATCTTTGTTTTTCTTTTCAGTTCTCACGATTGCATTTCTAGAACACCTTGTGTCCACATGAGTTTCCATTTTATTAATTTACATATACTTTACATCATTCTTCATTTTTGTACAATGTATGCTTTCTTCTCTCAGCTATAGTCCCCCTTTCTCTTATAGGAGTTTCCATTCTTATGACCAAACCATGCTTCTTTATAGACAGAAGTAGGTTAGTGCAGGGAGGGGAAAAGAGAAAGAATTAAGGAGACTTTTTTTTAAAAAAAATGAAATGCATTACTTGGGAATTATGCTAAAATATGTTTCCGATTCTTAAGTCCTAAATAGCAGAAGAATGTATTTTAGAGTACTACTTCTTTTAAGTGATTTTTCTGGGACTGAAATAGCTGTTCAGGGGAAAAGTCACATTCCAAGGGTTTACGTTTCATTTATCTTGAAAAAAGGAGTTTCCATTTGGTGATAGCACCCATTATTTGCTTTGAAAGGGAGTAAAACTGAATTATTTTAATAAACAGCACCAGTATTTCTTGGCAATATTTGTTGTTCCAAAAATTAAAAATAAATGTTATAGGGTAGAATTGAGAGAATTAAAAATAAGATTTTTAATTATAAAATATTTTATGCATAAAAATAGGGTCCTTGCTAACACTTAGTTATAATTTAAAGCTAAAGGTAAAGAAGATAAAGGAGTTGGGTTTTCTTGTTATAATGTATGTAGATATTTTTCATTCATTGATCCTTAATCTGTGTCTCTCTTTGTCTGTCTCTGTTTTTCTCCTCTCTATCTGCCCCTCTGCCTCTACCTCTATCTTCCTTATCAAATCTTCAACTGAAATACTGTAAACCTTGTAACTGAGCTAAATCAAAGCTAAAAGACCCCTCCAAAATGCTTTACATCTAACCCATCAATTCTAATCATAAAATCACAGCACCCTGAAGAATTTATTTCAACTTTAACAGTATTTTCTATAAGCTGACTCTGTATAAGGCACTATGCCAGAATATATAAATACATGGAAAAAAGATAAACTATGCTAAAATATGTTCAAATTCACATTTTAAAAATGAACTAAATTCTCAATCAAAACATTTAAAACTGAACAGAACTTTAATATATTTTTGGAGAAAAATACACACACGTATCAGAAACCTAAGTTCAATTTTCTAAGTCATTATCTTCCTGGCAGTCAGGAGTCTGAAATATACATACACGGGTGTTCTGCAAAAATAGAATCGTATTCATCACAGGTCCGAATTCCATCAAAAACATTTGTGACACACTCCCACCAGAGGCCTCGGCATTTTGTGCTCACCTAGATGTTGAAGAAGACACTGGGTGAAAAAAGCGCATGCAGACACATTTTAGTTCCCCTTGATCAAAGGGAGAACTTGACTGTTGTGAATTTGAGAGCATAGTACAGTGGTTACAAGTATCATCAGAATTCCATTTCCAACAAACACAATGCATTTTAGAACATTTTCCCTTACAGACTGAAAATTATAAGCTTTCCTTGCCAGAACTGAATTTGTTTCCTGATTTGATGGAGAGAAATCATGTCAAAGATAGATAAAATCAGAATTAATTATATTCAAATGCCTATGGCTGGTTCTATCATAGTCATAGTGGAATACAGAGATAATTAATTTCATTTCCCTGTGCTGACATTTACTCATCAAAAAAATTAATATAACAATAGATGATAAATGTTGACTTCTTGAGTCTATTAGGGATGTACATTAATTTTTCTTCATCATGAACACTGTGTTCTATGAAAAAAGGTGTTATTATATATGAGGCTCATAAATTTAAAATAATTATCGAAGAAAGCTATACATTGACACCAACAAATGAATTATGAAGGTCCCAAGACTTCTCTTCCTTGTTCCACTGACAGATACAAATACCTATGCTATGTTATGGATGTAAACTTAGCATTAATTTCATACAATCTGATAACTATAAGCCACTTTGAGTTTAAAATGCTGTGCAGATGATTCTGCCCACTTAGAGCTAAAAGGTAGCAGTGCCCTGAGTTCCCATACTTCATCTACAAACTGTAAGTCACAATAGATTTCTCAAAATGGTTAACATGCCAACAGAAAGTAGTTTCAAGTATTCTTAACAGAGCTCATGCATATGGAACAGAACTAATATGATTTTTTTTTCTTTTGACTCAATTATGGATTTGCATTACCTTGGAAATCTTAGAGTAGTGCAGTAAGATTTAAGTAAGAATTATCTCGGAAAATGAAAACTTTCCCTAAAATATATATACATATATTAACAGAGCAAGGTAGGTAAAGAAACACAAAGGCAGGAGGTTATAATTAGTGTAGAGGAGAAAAGAAGGAATTTAATCTCTTTGGCTTATAAAAGGAAATCCTATCAAGGAATAAAAACACTAGAAAATGCTGACCCATGTTCTGATTTAAAGCTTTATTGGCAAAAAAGCTTTGCGTGGCAAATAATATCTGTTATGCATAAAATACTTACAATTGGTGTGACGATATGATTTATAAGAAATATGTGTTTTGGTCATTCAGATGACAAAAAAAATATATTTTTCAAAATTTGGTCTTCATCCACAGTCCTGGCTCACAGCTTCCAAAAGCCTTGGAATTTCCTAAGTGTTAAATGTTAAGGTTGGCTTTTGCTATGTTTATGGGGTAAACTTTTGAAAACCCTTCAAGACATGAGCTGGTTACGAAGGAAATCAACCTGAGGATTAGGACTTTTAGTTTCCCCCTTAAATTTGGGAGGGGAGAGGAGATGGAGGTTGACATCAGTCTTAATGACCAGTAATTTAATCAATCAGACCTGTGTAATGAAGCCTCCATAAAAGCCTAAGAGGAGCACCTTCAGATCAGGTAGGGCTGGTGAGCATGTAGAGATTTGGGGTAATGACACACTTGGAGAGCCCATGGAAGCTCTGGGCATTTTCCTCCATACCTCACCCTATGCACCTCATTCATTTCACTGTTGATTTGTACCTTTTAATGTCCTTTGCAATAAACTGTGGTCTAGTAAGTAAATGGGTTTCCTGAGTTCTGTGAGAAATCTTTAGCAAATTAATTGAATCTGGGCCTCCCTGGTGGCGCAGTGGTTGAGTGCTGGGCTGCGAAGCTGCCTGCAGTCTCTGCAGTGCCGGTTCTATCCCTGGCCACCGGGCTAGGGTCCCACATGGCGTGACAGACCTCTCCTGCTGTGCGTGCTGCTCCTCTCAGCAGTGTATTTCTTCATCAGTCTGCCTGTTCTGTTCCCCACTCTGTCTCTGGTGAATTCTCTCACCCTCCCGTGCTTCTGACTGTACCCAGTGCTTGTATAAATAAATAAATAAATCTTAAAAAAAAATTGAATCTAAGAAGGGTGTCCTTGGAATCTCTGATTTATATACAGTCAGTCAGATGCATACGTGATAATCTGGTTTGACAACAGGCTCCTGAATTCCGAAGAAGGGGCATTGGAGACCTCCCTTCTGTATTCAGTTGATCAGTTGATCAGTTGACTAGGTGGCAGCCTGAAGCCTGTGTAGAACTTTCACCCAGCATCTGAAATGGAAGGCAGTCTTGAGGACCTGAGCCCTTTAATTGTGGAATCGGATACAATATCTGAGTAGATAGTGTCACAATTGAGTTGAATTCTCAGATACTCTGCTAGTGTCTGAGAACCGTTATTGGAATGGGGAGGTCTAGTTACACCCTGGTTGGAAATTGGGTCCAGGAACCAAGTAATGCAATTAGTAATGATGAATAATTCTATATTAAACCTATACTAGGAAACAGTTGCTCTTTAAACATGCCATTATCTCATTCATTGAAGGATTCTGTAAAATATCATTATTATGTTTATTTTATAAATAAATAATCCCAAGAAAGTATAACAAGTAAATGGGGAGACAGGACATAAGAATAACCATCTGTGTATATGCTCTTAAATATTGCATTACACTAAATTTTTTTTTTAATCCAAATCCATTTCAGGCTAACATACTCTAAAATGGAAAATTGGAAGGTAGCTTTATGTGAAGCAGTAAATTTAACTTTAATGTCCTCCTCTGGCCATTGTTCTACAAAACCTCACTTTAGCTTGCTCTTCCCAAGGTTAAAAATTGAGGTGATGTTCTGGAATTCATGGAATATTATCTGACCTGAAGAATGACAGAGACCAAAAATGTAATAAAGAAAATCCATCTTATTAAATTTAACACAATTTTTAAAGAAGGATGTGCATTTACATATGCATAAAATGTAATCAACAGTTAAAAAGATATGTATTTTAAGTATAAATTGTGTTGTTGGCCACATACTTCTCAATTTATCTGAATAAAGAAGATAATGACAGAGTAGTTATAAGAATATTATAATCACACATATAAATTTTTTGCTCAATAAATATTAGATGCCATAGGTGCTTAAACATTATATTAACCTGAATAGTGACTAGCTAACTACAATGAAAGTGGAGAAAGTTATGTATCATGAATGTGGCCTCCCCAAGCATATGTTCTTGTCCTATCCCCCAGAACTTAATGGCTGTGATCTCATTTAAATGGAAAAAGCAACTCTGCCTATGTAATTAAGGATCTTGAGATAAGACAATCATCTTGGATCACCAGACTAGGCCCTAAATTGAATGACAAGTGTTGTTATAAAGAACCAAGTATGGAGAGAGAGCTACAGAAGAGAGGGAGGCCACGTGACCACAAGTAGCCGATACTTAGTGATGTAGCCACAAATCAAAGAATGCCCAACTTCTTCCAGGAACCAGAGAGGCAAGGAACCGGTTCTCCCCTAGAGTCTTCAGAAGAGGCTGCACTGCCAACACCTTGCATTCCAACTGCTGGCTTATAGAGCTGCAAGAGTACACATTTCTCTGGTTTTAAGCCACTAAGTTGTGTTCATTTGTTATGGAAGCCATACGATTCTAATACAGTAGAGGCAATTGGTACTGAACTATTATAGCATAGCAGAAAACAGACTTTCTCATAGCCTACTGCCCTTCAGTCTCTCACTTAACAGGAACACACAGAATCCAGTTTATTCCAACTTGAGCTAGGTTATGCGGATTTTAAGTCACTGCTCTATAATACTGTCCTTAATTTCTTGCTAACTCATTCATTAAAACTAACAAACCTACTACAGACAATCTTGCTATATGTGAAGCTATTCAGAAAATGTGCTGAGATATAGATGAATACTTATTTTACACTGAAAGGAATATTTATTTTTTGCCAAAATAATCCAGCAATGGTGTCAATTTTAAGGCTATTGATCATTTACTTGCAATGACCATATTTAGAAAAACAATGAGCTCATTAGAGGAAACAAGGAATCCAATTTCATTAGATATTAATGCTCTGGGGCACACTGTTAGATTGCTTGGTATTCACACTCAGTTAAGGTACGTGAGAATAGTGGCTGTAATTAACTAAACTTCTGTGTTAATATAGCACTTACTGGAGACACCCTTTAAGGTGCCTTTGTGCACAAAAGACAAGGTTAAAAGATTCTATGTTATTTATCATATTTAGGAAAATCCTCCCCTCTGTAATACATAGTCTTTTCTAAAATTGTTGTAAAATGGCTTGTTAAAAACTCTTTAAAAGGCATGCAAATCTAAGTTCTTGAAAGTTTTAAGACAAGGTTCTTAAAAAGCAGACCAATGCTTAAAATATTATGGTTAACCTTTCTTAAAGGGCAAGAAATGCAAAATGTTAGCTAATAATTTTTATCTCATAGTGTCGTACAAAAGAAGAGTCTAAATTTAAGCTTTCTCTTTTTTAATGTGTGATTTATGTATTAATAAATGACAGGAAATAATGCAAGAGGAATATTTACATTACTTCAGTGAATATTTGTTGATACTGAAGTGAGGAGGGGAATATTCTCTCTTAGATGGGGACACATCAAGAGTCATTTTTATTTCCCATGTGGAATGGGAAGTGTCACAGGAAAGGGGATATGCCCAATAAAATGTGTGTTATTTAACACCTTATTCCTCTAGGTAAAGTGGAAAAATCTAAGAGCCAGAACAATGCCATCCTTAGAATTAGCCCATTCAGGGAGAAACTATTATTAAAACCACAGGGTTTATAGTGATTTGGTGTCAGCCTGGACCCTATTTACTATACTGACTCTAGAAAGTCTGTACCTTTAATACTCAGGATGAGCAAGCAGGATGTCACTTGGGAAAAGTTTTAGGACACCATGGTGATGACTCTTTCCAGTTGAGTTTATAGAGGCATAAATTAGTTCTTTAATCTTGGAATTTCTTATTCTGAACTATTTATCAGTCTCTCCTTAATTTTCTCTA